TTTGAACAGGAAGAGGATTACCTCCAATTCCCCCACCATTTAAGATATTTTCTAAGTTGGTGACCGGGATCGAGGGGATGGATTGTCCCCCCGGGAGGGAGGGGATGGCGGGGAGGGAGGAGGATGGGATGTGTTTGGCGATGGCGGAGCGCATGCGGCTGTAGGAGGGGGCCGGGCGGCCGGTTTCGTCGAGTACAGCGCCGTAGTCGTAGCTGGTGGTGAAGGGGGTGATGGGGTTGGGGCAGCCGCCTCCGGAGCCGCCGCCGAAGCCGAAGCTGGTGCCGCCGTGGAACATGTAGATGCTGAAGTGGTACCCTTGGCTGAGCATCCAGTCGATGTCGCCCGATGCGTCGGCCGCGCCGGCGTGGCCGCTCTTGGGGCCCCACGTGTCGAACCAGGTGATCCAGACTTCGCCGTCCATGAGGGGGCCGAGGCTGGTGGGGTCCGTGATGGCCTTGTCGCGCTCGGGGATGCCGTTCTTGGGGCCGGAGCCATCGACGACGGAGAGGGCCCCGGGCAGGTAGCCGGATTTGAGCGCGCTGGCGCCGTCGTTGGTGTATTGTTTGATGTTAGGGAAGGCGGCGAAGAGGGCGTCTGAGAGTGCCCGCTTGTAGTTCATGTCGTTGCCTACGTAGCCGTATTCGTTCTCAACCTGGACGAGCAGGATCGGGCCGTCGTTGGTCACCAGGTAGTCGCGCAGCTGCTCGCCGACCTTAGCGAGGTATTTGGCGCTGGCGTTGAGGAAGGGCGCGTTGTTGGAGCGGATCTTCATGTTGGGGATCTGGCTCAGCCAGCCGGGCAAGCCGCCCCAGTCGCGCTCGGCGCACACGTACGGTCCCGGGCGGAGAACGGCTTTCATTCCGGCGTCCTTGATGGCCTGGTGCCAGGCGGCGACGTCGTTCATGCCGGTAAAGTCGAATTGGCCGGGGTAGGGCTCGATGTCCTGCCAGTAGAGGTACGAGAAGATGGTGTTGAGCCCCATGGCCTTGGCCATCTGCAGCCGCTGTCCCCAGTACTCGCGTGGCACACGCTGGGGGTCGATCTGGCCCCCTATGATGGTGTACTTGGCGTCATTGAGGTAGAAGTTGTTGCGGTCCCAGGTGAAGGAACCGGCGGCAGCAAAAGCGCCTACAACGGGGCTAGGTTAGCGTGATTCTCATGGAGATACCCAAATACCTATGAGTAGAGCGGGAGGTTTTATTGTCCGACTTACCTACACTTGCCAGGCACCACGCACCGACACCTAACCACACGGAAGGGGCATACATCCTTGCAAAGTACGGCGATGCTGCTCTCACTGTTGACAGTGTTCAGCTGCCCCTGAGGTAGACTTCCAGGGGACTCATATAAATATACATTCTTCTCCCAGCATGAAAATCTATTTCCTAATCTAGGTCAGTAAGAGCGAGCAGTTAAGCGGTGGGATTTTCCATGGCTTCCTCATCCGGACATGCTCCGGGCCGGCCTGGATATCGCACGAACCGGATGGTACCGTGGTTGGCTGGGTGCTCGCTCGGTACAGTCGCCCCTTTCGATTGGAGCGCATCTTGGCGCTATTGGGATGGAGAGTACGACTATTGGAGCGCCTGGAATACCAAAGCAGTGGAAATATGAAGGGCGAAGACAATAAACAAAGCTTAATTCAATGACACCGCACTGCTCCCGACAATTCGATATATGGGAAGTTGATTACCTGATACCCGGGGGGTATAAGCTGATGTCGATAACGACGTAACGACGTTGCGCGAAGCGTACATAGGTACATACATCGGTTCGTACCTATACTCTATACCTAAGCACTGCAACTCATGCAAGCATAAGGACGAGCAAGGCTAGCATGCTACTGATAACAAAATGGGCTTGAACCATCCTGGCGCGCACTTCAGTCAGCTTGATCCGCTCTTCAGCCAGCTTGATGCGCTCTTTGGCTATCTCCCTTGAATCCCTGGTTATCCGCTTGATCGAGTGCTCCGCCGTGTCGCCGTCCGCAATGGGGAACGTTGCAGAGTCTTGGCGCGAGCGAGCAGTGCGGAAAATGGAGGCCAGCCGCTCATAGGTAAGAGTGATCTGGGCCCTTCTAATTTCGAGTTAGGCTCCATTGGTACTCTAACCAAAGGAAGAGACAAACCTGGATACCCCAGCGTCCAAGTCGGCCTTGGAGGGGCGATGGAACTCTAGGCAGGACTCTGCTGGAAGTCCGGTAAAATCGATGAAGTCGGATAGGTAAAGATTAACCTGGCCAACAGGCTGTTCAACGAGGTCATCGTCGTAAAATGGGTCAAAATAATGGACCCAGCGGCTTGCAGATGCGTCCGCTACTAACAGACTGACCGATGCCCTCTTCATTTCGGGGTAATCCAGATCGAAGAGTAAAACGGCGCGAATTTTACCCGCCGACAAGCCGATATACTGGCACGCCTTCTCTTCTACATACTGCCGAGTCTCGCTCTATGAGACCTCGGCAACGAACAGCGGTAGGTCGTTTGCCCGACGAAAGGAAATATCGGCTTGTTTTCTAAGTTTGCCTTTGATTTTGATAGAAGCGGTGCCACAGTCCTCGCAAGAGCTGATAAGCTGGGCGATGACAGTGTTCTCCGTGGCCGCGGCCAACTCCCCGAGAGACACGCTGAGGTCGCCGTTGATGGCGGCTCGGAACCAGGCGTGGAGAGTTGACTCCGACATGACGTCAATATGAACAGTCCCATTTCGTAATCATATTCAAATCGGCGATTCGCAGCTGGTCAATCTCGGCCAGTCTGGCATCCAGCCGTTCGGAAAGATCGTGGACTTGACTCGCAGGCCAGTGGAAGGAGAGAATTGGTACGATGCCCCACTGGGATCCTCTGGCGTTGTTATTGCGGGTGTCGGTGATGTGATTAATGATCTCAGCAATTGTCGAAACGTGGAGCAACACCTACGAGCGGTCAGCGGGTGCAAAGGGAAGGCAAACAGCTGGGAATCGGCCAATTGGTTACCCACAGGCTCAACGCGACCCTCGCGACCTGGCGAAGCAGGTGATATGACTGAAGAGACGGCGGAATTCTTCGACGCCATTATTGGTGCAGTTAATGTCGCAACACTCGAGTATATTCCACCTGGGTCGGTCGGCGCAGGAGAGAAATTGAGGCGTGTGTGCGGAAAGGGACTGGAAGAAACAACCGAAGTTTCTCTGCTTTTGAGCACAGAGGCACCGGACTTAGTTGTTCCAGTTCCTCTGGTTGGAGCACCTGAATGTCCATTCCCCCCCCCCCCCCCCCCCAAAAAAAAAATAAGAAAGAAAAAAAAAAGGAAACAAAAAGTCGTGTTGACTACCACCCGGCAGAACCCGGACCACCGCCAGTTGTTACTTGACCATTCAGCAAGCGGTCGCATGGGCGGCGGTCCTCGCTAGAAAATACCTCAGAATGCAGATCTCATATCTTCCAGAGCATTTATTGTTGTTCTAATAGACCTAGAGGCTGGGTGGTGGAACCAAAGAGGTCTAATGGATCATAAGGTTCCTACTTCACCTTCACACATTTGTCATTTACTCGTTGGTTTAGTTCACATTCCAACTTGTGATGCCCAAAGTCCTTAGGTACCTATTACTCTCAGCCTTTAGATATGCCCAAGGATGGATTAAGTAGGTAGGTAGCCAACCTATTCGGTATCTCGTTATAATTTATATTCCATATACCTGGGGGTCGAATACCAAGGAGGTGGTCGAACTGGCCTGGCAGGCCCGGTGGGAACAACAGAGAGCTAGTCAACAAAGTACTACTCGACAGAGGGTATTCAACAGGAGGATAGCCGACGAAGACCCCCCAGCCCTCTTATTTACCGACAAAGCTCTGATGAGACACGAAGGTCTTACAAAGGCGCAGAGCTCCCTCCTTTCCCAGGCCCGTATCGGGGATATAGGCCTCCGGGACTACCTGTTCAGGGTGAAAGTCCCGGAGGTCCGCACCCCCTATTGCGAGTGCGGGAGAGGCAGGGAGACGGTGGAGCACTTGGTGGTTTGGTGCCCCGACCCGCCGTTACAAAGGCCGTGGGACGGCAGAGAGATTCGGCCACATCGGGACCTACAAACCGTATTACGGGGAGTAGGTGCCCGGAGCAGAAGATTTGTTAGGAAGGTCCTTGGCTGGCTGATGGACTCTGGCCGGCTACTGGAGTATAGCCTGGCCAGAAGGCTGGAGCTAGAAACAGTGGATGGGGAGGGCTAGAGGGCCCGGAGGCCGGCAAAGGGCCTCCTTTCTTTTGCAGTATGACGGATTCATAGATTGTTGTCTCAAAGTGGTAGACAGAGGTTCTTATCCGGCCTATACGGTACGGTTTCCTTTGTAAATAGCAGTAGAAGGACCGGCGCGCCCCAGGGCATATCGGTGTAGGAAATAATAATAATATATTCCATATACCACTCCCTCCCCATCCATCACATCATCTCCACCTTTGTATCATCATCCACCCTCGCCCACGCATCCGGCGGCACCCTTGCCCGCACCCATTCCGCCGGGCCCGGGTTCTCCTTCGCAAACCGCACGAGCTCCTCAGTCAAGCCCAAATTACAGGCCAAGGTGTTCCGCAGCCTGGCCCGCTGAACACGTATCTCTTCGGCGCGAGACTCAAACTCCCTCGGCGGCGGTATCGGGCGCGGTGTCCGCCGCTTCAATAACTGCTCGGGCGGGATCCGCGTGAACGGGTAGCTTCGCACCCTGCGGCGTACCTTGCGGGGGAGCGGGCTGTGCACTGTGATACTATAGCAGCGGTGAGTTGGGACATGGATTTTCAAAGTGAGTGGCAGTGATCATGTCGGGAACTAACAACTCCGCCCCCGTCCACTTATACCACACCACAGGCGGGTCTAGCGGCGGCATGGGGTCCGGCCCGTGGTGGTCGACGAGGAACCAGCACTCGACGCTGTCCCAGGCAAACTCGCAGTTGTAGGCCCAGGCACGCTCGCGGTGGTCGTCAAAGTTGCGCTGCCACACGTGCTGGCAGATGAGGTTTTCCATGGCGTCTTTCCGCGCTAGGCTGTAGGTGGACTTGTCGCCCGGCACGAGATCGGTCCTGGTCTGTACTAGGATCCGGACTGGTTTGTCAAGATCGGCGGCGGCGGGGGTGGCGGGGGTGGTGGTGGTGGTGGACTCGGCTAGACTTGTGACAGGTGAAGCAATAACTATCTCGGGACTGCGAGGCCTGGGGTCTTCCTTGTAGTTTGGGCTGGCCATTGCAGCAGTGGTTTTTGGTACGTTGGGATGCTCGTAAGTTCTGTCGGAATGGCCAGACGGTGATCAGTGACAGTTTCGGCGCAGTCTAGGTCCCAAACTCGGTCAAAGAAAAGTGTTGGCGCCAGGTCCCAAGCCCACAACAAGCAGAAGGCACTGTGCAAAATACGGAGAGGCACACCAACAGCACAGTACAGGTTAGGCCAGACATCGGGATAGCTCACATCCCAGCTCTCGAAAGGGGGAGAGGTGAAGTCCGAATGAACCAAATCTTTCTATTATCAGTCGTGTCCCGCCCATAAAAAACAGCCTTATCAAACTGAACGAACTCCAGTTTTCCAGCATTTCTTGATGAGTTACCAAAAAACAAGCGATAACAGTCACCAGACGTGCACGACCTCGTACTTTTCACCCTAGTCCCAATCCTCCCTTAACTCCCTTCACCCCCCTCGTCTTCTCCCTCTCCCTGCACTGGGTTATGTGCACGATAACGTAAGTATTCAGCGCCATTTCTAGAAGATGGGGCTCGCCGCTCGCTCCTTCGACAGACCGAATGCAGGCGGGTTGCGTTATTTAAGCGTTAACCGCACGGGTACTCAGGCTTGCGACCCAAGATGTGCGTAAAATGCATTTTGGTGAGATGTAGACCGTCTGATCTACATAGTGAGCGGTGCGTTATACCCAAGGAGAACAATCAAATTGGGTACTAACCATTGAAGTCTATATTGATTAGCGTAATTGTCGTCTCAATGCCCTGCAGAACTTGTCCACGTGCCGCTTTAGGTTGTCATCTCGTGCTTTGAGTTTTTTGGAGCAGTGTGGACAGCGGACGAAAAGATTGTGGTGGACGCCGTTAACATGCCGCCTAAGATCCCTCTTTGAGATGAATGTTTTCTCGCAGAGAACCGCGGGGCATCGGAACACACGGTTTTCCCGTAGCCTAGAAGCCCTGTTAGATGCCCAGTATCAGAGTAATGCGAGCTTGGGAGTTTCCACTCACCTTGGAGAAGACCGTGTGGGCTGTCCTTTCTCGACATCTCTGGTAACGGGTACTTGACCTTCGACTTCATGTTGTGAGCGGCTGCTTGTCTGTACGTCGGGCGCCGTGTCTAGGGCCACGGGTTGAGGTACGAATGGCAGACCCGAAGCCCCACTGCCATCATCCAACCGAAATAAAGATTCATTCGAAGATCGTCCGCGTGCCGAAGCCGAAGGTGATCGAGAAGCCTCGACTTGGTTTGCCAAATAAGCCGAGAGAGGGAACGACCAGCCATCCTCCACATCCACAGGCCTCGTTTCGGCTTTATTTCCCTTTTCCTCGCGAGTCTCCTGAGTCTCAGTCCCAGCCTCAGGGTCAAACGAAAACGGGATATCATCCAAATCAATCGGAGAATTCGAGTCCTCAAAGTCCAACAGAGACGGTTCCCCGGACCCAGGACTCCCTGACCCATCCCACCCTCCACCCTCCCCTTCACCACAGCAACCAAAGTTCGAATAGTCTGAGAGTCCTTGGAGGTCCAGGAAATTCTCCTCGAGCCCCACAGGAAAATTTCCAGAACCCGACCACGGCACATCCCAGAGGCTATTCTCTGCTTGACTACTGCTGCATGCCCACGAAATAGGGGTTGACGGAGGGCTGTGAGGGCCCTCCGCCGGGGATCGCGTCTAGACTCGGAAGGAGCCCAACAAGTTGGCTATCGAGCTGGTAAACCGGTCAGGTTGGATTAAAGGATTACAGTGGCAAGGGGCAAGGGATAAGTGGGTTTGTGTGTGTGTGTGTGTTTGGGGGGGACGACCTACAGCAAAGCCTCTCGATGCCCCTTCCACCAGGATAAAATCGAAGAAATTAGTGAACTCCTGGGAGATGGAAGTTGAGGGAGGGAGGAGAGGGTAAAGTAAAATAACTTCTTAGTGAGTGGGGAGTGGAAGGCTGTAAGGGAACCTTGTACCGTCCCGTGTGGCCACTGGCCACACGGGAGCAAGTTGGTCCGACGCAGCCTCACCGCTGCGTTCTTTGCCAATGGGAACAATGAGCATGCAGTTGGAGCTTACTGCGAAACTCGGGTTGCCTGCCAAGGAGCAAAAGTCAGCCCCATGGCGTGGCTCACATTGATCCTAACAAATTGAAGAACGCAGCTTTTGATACTTGACACATGCATGTGACATGCATGTGTACATGCAAGTTTGAGGCCACTCTCATCGTAACACGGGCCCACTCTATAGGCTCATGATGCTAACATCGCCGACACTGGAACACCGAGGAATCCTACAGGCCAGTAATCATGTGGCTCAACAAACGAACTCGCCTTAGAATGTCGCGGACTCGGGAGGTTTTGAGATTTGAGTCCATTTTTCGAACTCAAAGGAGAGCCCCCCCCCCCTCCCCCTCCCCTCTTGATATGGTGCCAGGACCACACGTATAAATAGATACATAGTTGAGCTCAATTTTCCCTCCCGAATGACAGATACATTGAGCCAACGCAGAACCCAGCCTCATCTACATCAGACCTTCGCTAGTTTCCAAGTCCCGTTATGAAAACACCCTCGTCCTCCACTCCCAACCCCCCCAAGCCGTCAGGGCTGGCCAACTTAAAGCACGACGGCTCTTCCACGCGGCCAGTAACATTGACTGTCCCCGACCAGTTAACCCCCCAGAGAAAGACGGACGGCGTCTTTCCGGGGGTCCGCAAACACCGGTCCGCTGGCTCGTCCATTGATGACGCTTCAGCCCAGCCCTATCGCCAGGTCACTCGGCCCTGGGCCTCCAGACACCCTACCAAACGCGCCGTCAACGTTTCAAACGACCAGGAGATGACACCCATGGATCGCTGGGTTTCTCAGAACATCAAGGACGAGATGTGGAATGATATCCACGGAGTATACGGCACCTATAGTCAGCAAGACGGTGTGGCCACGGTGGAAGATGGGACCGGCCAAAGCGGAGAGGCGGTTCAAAGCTTAGAGACTGGTGAGCCTATGTAACCGTAGATAGGTGGAGACTCGAATATATCCCTCGACTTCGCGACGTTGTAATAGCGCTCGGAGCATTGAGCAAACAAAGAGCCAAATTTCACTGAATACCCAAGCACTACTCCCATCCACACCCAACCACCGGACACCCCCCTAAGTCGCAAACACCCTTCACCACCTTATCCACACACCCCGTCGCCACTACCGACCCCCGAATCTACACCCCCATCTCCCCATCAAGCCCCCTCCCACCACCACCACTATCACCACCACGGTCATACTGTACCCCCGTTGGCTGGTATGTACCGGGCGTGGTTATCGAAAGGCGCACCTTTCTCTATAACCGCGCTACACCTAGCCATTTCTTCTCGAGTAATGTTTGAGGGCGGCCGTCTCCGTATCAAACGCATCTTCTCCAGGCTCGTCGCTAGATCCCCAGCCAAAGCTGTCGGCAGTCAATGTTTCTTGTAACATTGAATGGCCGCCGTCTGAGGAGCAAACACAGTGATGGCTTGCATGCTATATGGTTTCGCCGCTATGGCATTGAACCGCCAACGCATGACAACATAAGGTTGAAGTTGATTAGCTCACTTCTCTCTCGCCAATACCAGAATAATTATAATCGTGATTCTGGGCACCGCCCATAGGTCAGGTACCTAGCTTTCGTGGAGCCGTTAATGTGGGTGTAGGTACAAGTTAGGGATTTCATATAGGACCCTCAGGCCGCGTTTTATCTTAAGTTTTCCTAACCACCTATTAATTCTCTGTGGGATGAATTCAGGGAGCATAGGAAAAAACCGGATATAAACTATTATCCCTAGTATCCAGAAGACAAGAGCACTATTAGGTTCGCAAGTTGGAGATATCAGGAATGCAACAGGAGTCAAACACAGGACGAAAAGATGGGACACAGAGCCGGATGGTTCTTGGGAACTCAATATTAGGTTGCCATCTTGTAAAACACCTACCTCAGGTAGGTTACCTCCTCCAACTTGGCAAGCTACCTTACCAATGCAGTCGCCTTGCTAAACTAGGTACCTCGAAAACCTATTGATACACTGGCCTGGTGCTCAAATCATATCAGGAACCCCCTTCTTAGCGTAGCATCCTGGCATGGATTTCATAATTACTTAGGTACCCCACCGTTGACTAGAAGATGGGAGAGAACTGGAATTCGGACACGACGGGACTTTTACTCTGTTCTACACGGCATCAATCCCACGACTGCACGGCTCGCGAGGAGAGTTCTCGACTGGCTGATGGACTCGGGGAAGCTGCCGATGTACAACTTAGCCAGGAGGCTCGAGCTGGAAGCGGCGGCTTGAAGCGCCCCCGTTCGGAGGCCAGGAGGCCTCCTCTCTTTGTATACGCAGACTCACCAGAACGCATCGTTCCTTGATTGTTGGTATGGGTTTTTCACCCGGCCCGGGAGGGCACGGTTTTCCTGTACACTAAATAGCTGAGGGTCCGGCACGCCCTAGGGCATAGCGGAGTATGAATAATAATAATTACTTAGGTAACTAGTCGTTATCCATCATAACGTCGACCTAAAACGTCCCCCATTACTACATGCACGAAGTGGGCATCAAAGAAAAGAATGACCCTGTATCCGCACTCTTCTAGTGCCTCAGTACTCTCAGGTGTCCCACAGAGAGAAACTCGTAAAATTGGACCTACAAACACCGAGTCCAAGCCCAGACAGAAGGTCCTCGGCCTTCCCGAAACCTACATCGACCTAGTTGAGCCCCACAGGCCACGGGTCTCTCTTGAGCACTACAGTATCGTCTGGAAAGCGAGGAGTTGTATTAGGTACCCAGTTCCATAGAGTGTTAGTTACCCACCGCGACACCAGACCGCATGTTGATGTGAAGACGGCAAAGTCAAGGGCTGTCATCACCCTATGAGTTCTCGTCGTGGCTGACCGCCGGTTTAGGAGGGGTCGAAATGTGGTGTCGTCAACCCAAAGCGCGTCACCGACACGAAAGCATCAAGGAAACCGGTTCCTTCCAGGTCTTTAATTCGCCGTCCTCTACCCTCCGCACCCCCGACGCCCCCTAATTTGTATCCCCAGATTGACACATGCATCGGCACACAATGGACATATTCAAATGTCGGTACGTTGAGCCGAACCGTCATTGCAACCTCGACCACAATATTACCCTATTGGCTACCGGGCAGCGCTCATCGGAGAGAAAACGAATTCAAGCGGGGGAGACACACACAAACACATGGAAACACACCCACACGCGGCCGCTTCCCGCTTCCGCGTGCCTCGCCTTTTTTAACTGTTTAATAAACCCCCGTTTGCCCCTCTGACAGGTTTGGGCGAATGGTGACTTGACCGGCCGCCTGGTTGGGTTGGTTTGCGCCCTTGATGTGGCCCGAATCCTCCCCTTGCCATTAAGGGGCGTTCGTCCATCATCAGCCTGTTTGCTTTTAGCCCGCCAAAGCCCCTCCACCCCACAATGTTAAGACAACGGGCCTGGAACAGTTTGCAGTTTGGTTTTCTGCGGGCGGGGGGATTGGTTTGTGCTTAAATGAACGTCACAACGGGGGCAACCGAAAGAAGCAGGTCGGTAGGTAACTTTGGTGCTGAAACGGGCAGGGCGTGTCGATATTGGGCAATGCCCCCTTTGGCTTGCCTTCAGCAGTGCTTAAGCGTCATGATTTTGACTTTGCTGCGGGGAAGTCATTCGGCGCAAATGACATTTCACGTGTGATATGAGGGCCTTCATTGTAAGAGTCTAATGTATGCGACCGCGGAGGGTGCCCAGCGGATCGACAACTAAGGTTGAAGCGGGAGCTGTGCGTGTCAATCCTTGTTGCTCTGTGAGTGGATCAGCGATGCTCGACCGAGGGGAGAAAATTCGATCAGTGGGATCAAATGTGCTTTTGTCAGTCCCTGTTCGGAGGCTCTTCCGCAGGTGGCCTCTGTGGGCGGCTCCTTCGACCAACAGCTCAGCATGGCTTTGGCCCACCACGATCAGGTTCAGCACCACTGTGGTTGATCCAGGATCTGAGGTGGTAGTGGCCGGAATAGGGTCACATCAATGTCGCAGCGGGTGTGGGGGACATGCTGTGTCTGGAATTGTTGGCTTGTCTAACCCCGTTTGGATGACACTCTGGGGAAGCAATCGGCACGGAGGCGAACAGCTCGGCAGCCATCCGACGGCGGCAGCCTGGTTACCATGCTCGCTTGAAACTGACCGCCGCGCATGAATGGCTGCGGTGCTTTTGCAAGAGAGCCAGGTACAGACCCATTCCGTCCGATGTGGATAATTGTCGGATAGACAAGGACAATATGCCAATGCGGAAGTTGGAAAGGTAGGCGGATGGAATCGAGCCGTGTAACTCACGATTTGCAGCTGGGTTCGGTCGCACAACGTAATTATTGCTGACCATGTGAGCCTTTCCAGTTGGGGAGACACTCACAGCAGGTCCTGGCCAAGGTTTGCATTGGTGCTTGGTCGAGGAAAGCTGGGTCTGCCAGCACCCCAGCTGTTGTCGATTCCGGCGCGCCTCTCTGCAAACAACTTTATCAGGGAAGCTCCAGGGAACTGAATTTTATACCCATGACCTCCTTCCGCTGAGAAAGGCGGAATATGGGTCAAACCCGACTGCTATTGTTCACAATAGGGCCGACATAATAACGCCTTTGTTCGTGTCTCGGTTCCATCGTCGAATTAACGAGTCGATAGCGAATCATAATGCCCATGAGAAGTGCATCGCATCTGGGGGCGCTGAGGTCATCTGAGACAGGAAGGCCAGAGGCGCACATCGAAAAAGTGTGGAGAGGCGGGGCGTGTGAAAACGAAAACCCCCGAAGGATCAACAAAAACTTCCTGTCGGGGGCAGTATTGGCGAGGTTTTGTCTGGTGGGGCGCGCTACGAAAACTGTCAAATTTGAACATTCCAGTTTCTTTGTTGAGGAAGGAGGTTCGAGGGAAGCTGGGAAGGCAGTCGCAGCTTGAAATGGATAGGCTTTGGTTACTCTGAGTGGGCACTTCCTCCACTTTGACACTCATCAGAATTCCTCCCACTTTTCTTTCCCCAGATCCATGGTATGATTCAAGGGTCCTTGTCGTGCTTGCAGTGTATACTTGTGGGTTGAATCATCACCACCACAATGCTCCATTTGGTGATAAAGTCCGTAAGGCTCGGGGTCTTCTCGTCACTAGTTATTTTTGACACGCACGAACTCGTTCAACCCTAGCGCGCACCCACAGGCTTGACGCCGGCCACACCGGTAGGTTCGCTCGGCCTGCCACGCTGCTTACAACGGCTCTTGTCAGCCCCGGTCTGATCCGTTGTCTCCGCAAAATCCAGCAAGTCATTCCGCCACATTGATGATCGACAAATCGATATCCACGGTATCCACCGGAGCCTCAAACGGCGAGGTCGCGACCACCGCGACGAAACGAGACACCACTTCGCTCACAATCGTCGCGCACCAATTGACACACCCCCGCGAACCATGTCCAATATCGGAGCCTGCAGATATCACGGGCGAGCGCAGATCTGATGAATGCCAATCGCACGGCATCCTTGCCGGCTTGTACCTATATTACGTTCCGGGGTATTCTCGGAATTTTCCATTCGCTCGCTCATACAATTACACCCGGAATCCCTGCAGTTTTTGCACACGAGCACCACGCCCTCGCCCTCCGGGACCCCTTGCCATGACGTCCAATTCGGAAGGGGGGCGCACTCCCGATGCCCGTGCGTGGCACAGCTCGAAACGGAGGCATGGAAGAGGGCCGCATCACTTCCCTGTCGGACAGACGGATTGCCCGGCGATGACACTGCGGTGGCTTGCCTGAGCTGCACAGAAGAGGCCCGACTTTGCCCTGCTTGGTGCATGCAAATCGCATGCATGAGGGCGCACGAAGTGGCTGCGGGTGGTGGATGCACTCCAGTGCGGGATGGATGCAGCCAGTGGATTCGTCAGCCCGGCTGCATCCTCGGTCTCTTGGTCTGCCTCCCCGTTCTTGTTGAAGCTGGAGAGGAGGAAGAAGGTGAGGTCGACCAGCCGCCGCCTCGTCTGCAATTGCAAGTCGGCCCGTCAAACTTGTGAAGTCCCCGCGTTGGGCCTGCCAACATCGCAGACCCAATCTATTTGGCCCATCCATCGAATTTCGGCCAACCTTCTTTTCTTGTTCCCATGGCCTTCGATGCTTCGTCCCGCATGCTTGTTGTATATTGCCTGCATGCGCCGTTGCGGGTGAGCCAAGACCACCCTTCCTTTCGCCCTTCGTTACCTCTGGCCCCCTTCCTCTTTGAGCAACTCGAAGCCTGCATCCCCCGCAACCGGATGTGTGCTCAGGCTGGAGACAGGCCAGCCAGGAGAAGAGAACTAGGATGACTGGGATGTTACCCCACAATTCAACCATGCGAAAACACTCCTTGACGCTAGTCGTTCGCCAGTGATCCACTGGAAAGGTTGGGGCGCCGCAGGTTCCGACCCCAGTTCGCCTCCCCTCTCCGATTTCTCTTCCCCAAACATCAACGCTTGGAGACAACGCCTAGGATCCATCTCGGCTGAGGGAAGGCTGGGAACATCGAAAACCACATCTCGACACCTCTACACGGGAACATCTGCCTCACTCACCTTGCTTGCTCACTTCACTCGAAGTCGTTTCACACAACAAGTACGATGGGATATCCCTATGTAACGCCCTGACTACGATTACGAGACGAGTCGGATTGTGTGGAGAAGCGCCTGGACTTCGGGGTTGACCGTGTGTGTGGGGGGGGAATCTTGAACCACCTCGCCCTCACTGCCTGTTTCCTTGACGCCAACACACCGCATTCAGCAACATTGAACATCAGCTTGGAGCACCTAGCCATGTCACCAAGCGACGCTCAGGCCGGCCTTAAGAACTTCAGCTCCATTGACTTGGAGTTCGCTGGCGAGCCCGAAGTTCAGGTTGCCCAGTCTGGCCTCAAGCTGGAAGGCGCCAATGAGACTCTAGACAGCATCACCGCCGCTCACGACATGGCGGATGCAGCCCATTTTGGGGATTTTCAGTTCTCGTACCAGGATTCTCTCCAAGACTCGCCCATGAATGGCTTGCCGCATAACTTCGACGACCACGGCCCAGATGTCTTCACGACGCCACAGGCAAATTCGGTATCACCTATGCAAGACCGACAAGACTCCGTAGCTTCCATCACCGTTCACACATCTGCCTACGGCGGCGGCAACGGGCAACGGCCCAGCCCGGACGACTCCGATAATAGCACGCCAGACAGCAACACGAATGGATCCAACTTGTTGGACGAGCCCTTGTCCGACGAGTTCGGGCTCGCGACGGGCGGACTTGCCGATGGGACAGATTTGGGTGGGAAGAAAGGGGAGAAGTCAGACACCGCGCCAGCTTGGAGCGAGCTGAAAACAAAGGCAGGAAAGGAGCGTAAACGGTTGCCGCTGGCTTGCATTGCATGTCGTCGCAAGAAGATTCGCTGCTCAGGGGAGAAGCCTGCCTGCAAGCACTGTCTACGTTCGCGCATACCGTGCGTGTACAAAGTCACAGCACGCAAGGCGGCCCCACGGACAGACTACATGGCCATGCTGGATAAGCGGTTGAAGCGCATGGAAGAGCGCATCATCAAGGTCGTACCGAAGGCAGAGCAAGATAACGCATCGCTCCTCGGTTACCCGGGCCGTGGTGAAGCCTGCAATTCCGGGGACTTTACCTGGTGGTGGAAAAGCTGCGAAGAAACGCGGGGTTGACGAAGCATTCGGGCCGGACCTTGATCACTGGGCTCGCGCTCCGTCGAGGTCCAAGCTTGATGGTCCGAATAAACCCTCGACCATTCTCGTCCAGGAGGCAGAGGAGAGCAAACTTCAGCTCGAAGGTGGCGATGCGCTCCCTTCCAAGGATATCCAGGAGCAT